AAATTGGCTCTTATCGCCTTTTACAGGAATTGTATTGGGGGGGGGGACAGCCAACAACATCTTACGAAAGGTTTTATTGTATGGTTGATAAACGTATTTCTATAGGGACACCTATAAATTATATGGTTGATAAACGTATCTCTATAGGGACACTTATAAATCCTCATTTATAGGCATAAGAATTTTTACCGAATTATGATAACTTACATTCTAGAATTCTGCTAAGATTATCCTAATTCTGAATAAAATTGTTTCTTTTAATTTTTAAAGTTCTCTAAAATCTAAATTGATTTGTAAACTTGGCATGCTTATATTTTTCTTAACGTTCCACTTGTCTCGTAAATGTCACGTTACTGTAATTCAGTTTTACTTTTAGTGGGTTTAATGATTTAATAAGGTCTATGTTTGATTTTAAACACAACTCATGCTCACCACAGTCTTAAGTTTTGTAGTTTTACTACTTTTACTATGTGACATACTCTTGTAAATAGACGTTAATTCAGTTACTTTATATCAATTTAATCACATTAATTCACAATTTAACTAAGACTAAAGAGATTTCCAAATAAATATTTAGGTTACAAAATAAATTCACCTTTGACAGTAAGTAACGCATCAGCAGATACTTCGGACATGGTCCTCTTCACGCAACAAGTATAAAGGCCTGTGTGGAAAATCTTAGCATTTCTGATGTACAGTCCTTTATTTGATTCTTCTTTTGACTGTGAAAAGAAAAACATTTTATCGAATTTCTCATTTATGCCGTTGTAAAACACTTTGATCAGAACTTTTGGTTCTGTAAACTCCTCGTAAAAAAAAAATAAAAAAAATCAGATCTTGACGATGCACAAATCACAAAGTAAACAACTAGATATTTATTTAAAATCCTGTAACGTGATTAGGTAAACAAATATGGACACCATTATCATTTAAGTAATTGATAAATTTGCAAATGTTCAGTACTGTCTATATAGACAAGAAACGATCACAGCTTATAACGTAAAGTCAAATTATGCAATGACGGGCGGTAAATTTTTTTTAGCTTGAAAAAAAAATTTTGGAGATTTATATTTGACAAAACAAGATAATTAAATAAAAAGTTTCCTAACGATCATCCACTATAAAGAAAAAGTCAGCTTGTACAAAATGTTAAATGTGCAATACCATTTATCTTGCCTGACGAATTATACGCATTAAATGCAAGCATTCACATCGTGCAGTGGCTAATATGATTGGGTTTTTTTACGTCATTGGTTGTAAGTTTATTTCCTACTTGCTGCTCCATGAATGTGAGCATATGCTAAAGTTGGTTCAGCTAAATTCCTTTCAAGTATATTTGTCATTCCATATTTTACTAACTTGTTAATACTTATGCTCATAAAAGTAAAAAGACAAAAGTGTTTACGTAGCCATAAATGGAACTTACTAAACCATAATAAGGATGATTATTCAAATCGATGGGAACACCATTGAACAGCCATTGATAGACAATCTCGTATCTCGGATTGTAGGAGACTTCACAACCAAGAAAAGCTGTCTCGCTCAGTAGAACTTCAGTATCTTGGGGTTTTCTGTTAATCACCACTGCATCTAGAAATAATTCAGTAGCAATAAGTAACATTAACAATAATACAGTTTTAATTAAATAATAGTCTTTTTGTTCGTTTTGACTTCCTAGTTTGTTTTTTTTATTCTCTTTCGCTCTCAAGCAACTGGCAAAAATCCTGAGTAGGAATAAGCCCGAGTGACAATGGTTCTCCAGGCAACAGATTATTTAGTTATGCTTTTTACATAAAATGTGGCATAAGGCCGAAAAATGGGAAAACTTGGTCATCACTTAAATTTATCTCAACTAGTCATTCACATATGTCTGGGAACACCATCGATATCTACATTATTTTCAGACTGTATGGTACCTTCCCCTTGAGTAGTATATCTAGAATCAGACGGTTTTAACCACACTTATTTGCGCAGACTAGTTCTTCATTTTTGGTAGTCATAGGTGTAGCTTGTGGGTGCCGCCATTTATATTTAAACTTTGTTCTTTGTGACATTGATTCTTCTTGTCTTTGGCGAAATATTGTTCCAAAAGACAGCTCCTATTAGTGAAAAACTGTTCGAGGATGTTTTTTTTTGTTTTTGTTTTTTATCTTCAACAATCCTATTGTCACTGAGCCTGTATGCTACTTTGAAAAAACGCATAACTCTCCACTTATCAAGAATCTTCACGTATCCACCATATCCTTGGTGACCAGTGTTGAAGTATATCCATTGTCAGCAAGAGCCTTTGCACTTCGACTATTGGCGTTCTAGCTCCTATTTCGCTCACTGAGGTCCACAACGGTAGTAGGTAATATCAGGCTTTCACCATATGGAGACCCTGCTATCCGAAACATTGCAACTTGATACTGTCCACAGCTTCTCTCTACGGAAGTTACTGCACCTGCTCCACCGAGTGATTTTATTCCAGTAGTGACGTCTCCCATTAAAAGCTAAAATCTCTAGCTGGTCAAGCGAGGATTGTGAGCTCTTTCCCTGCGCTGAGTGGTAAATTTTTCTCTTCAGTCGCAAATAATTGAAACAGTGTAAAATAATTAGACACATTTTAAAAGAATATTTCTCGATAAGAATCTAAGGTTGGATTGGTGGGGGACAGCAATACCCCCCTAAAAAAAATTGGACAAGAGAGAAATCCTATTCTAGTGTAAGAGGCACAGAATATGACGGTATGTTTTGTTTTGTGATAGAAAGAAATGTAACGACGCTATGCCCAATGTATGTCATTGATCCTAAATTAATTGCCTTCAGGATGTAGCAATATTAAAAATTTAATATTTATGAGTTGTGTAAAGGTTCTAGATATATTAAAATGTCACACTAAAAGAAATTTCAATTAATCGCTGTTTGTTTGAGTAAATTAAAAACAAAAATCTTCGAGTTTGTTTTGCTTGTAAACAGGTAAACATGATACTTTGCCACAGATCGTAGTCAGTCAACTCGAAAATTTCAGCTAATCTACACAAATATACGTCAAGCGACTCTCCGTACCCAAAGGGATACGCGATACGACTATAAAGCAAAAAAAACAAAAAAAAAAACAAAAAAAAAACAAAACAAAAAAAAACTCGCCGATAACTGAAACTACAATGCCAGCTTCTATGTCCACACGCCTCTACTTCATGTGAGAAATGACATTTACTAAAAAATATCTTGTATATTAGACATGTACATTTCTACAAACATTTCAGTACTTTTTGATAAGATACATCCACAAAAGTCAATTTACACACACCTTTACACATAAAACCTACTGCAAAAATAAAAATAAAAATTGCAGTTTTAAATGTTACGATTATCGGAAGTTTACTCTAAAAAAATCTAACGATGAATAATGAACAACGCCGCTATATGCAACCTTACGTTATTTTCTGTCGTCTGTAAAAGAAAATGTGCAAGGAGAAATTCATGATAGGACAATCTTAACAGAATTATATTTATACTGCGACATCTAAGATGTTGATTTAGAAATTTTTGAATTAGCAGTGTATCTTCAATAAATTGTGATATCTTATGTTTTTTTTTGTTGTTTTTTTTTAAAGCTAATCAAGGGAGACAATAACTTAGAGTGGTTATATGGGAGCCAGCCTGTACATCAAAGTTTCTCCCGGTCGGTTTTAATTTAAATTAACCTGTCCAATTGACTGGACAAAATGAAACATCCTGAGTAAGCTGTCAATTTATTTTATTAGAATATGAACATTAAATGACAATTATATAATGGAAAATGTCTTCTCAGCTATTACAAAAAGAAAAATTATTACGCTTACTAAGACGCCTGCTGCATCCTGACCATAGAGATTATAGCTAAAATTGAATGTGTGTGACTTTTAAACCATTCATTTAACAACAATCAGCTCTATGGGACATCTGAAATTTTCACTGTATAATGTTAACATTATGGGATTAATATTCACCACTTAATTACATTGACAAAATAGAGATCATGTTAAAAAGCAAATATTTCTTCTGTAAAATAAATATTTTCATAGTCAGTCTATGGATTGAGCGATGTGCCTATATACAGATAATTTATCGTATAAGACAGAAAGAAAATGGGCAAATAAGACGTTCAACCAAAGCTTTTAAGACACTCGTGACCAAGCTTAAACAAATAATTATCTCCCTCCCTCCTCCAAGAGAAACATGAACCGGGCATTTTGCGGAATATGCCAATACAAATCAAACTTCTATTAACGTTTTAATTTGATAATTACAATAAATTAGAATAACGTCTGCGCTATCGTAGAAATTAAAAAAGAATATAGACAAAAGAAAAAATAATAAAAATGTTGTTCATTTTTATGGGAAACTGAGATACTTAACGTTGCTTTGAAAATAGGTGAACTTTTTTCTTTAAAAAAATAACAAAACAAAACAAAAAAGGCCGAAAATCATCTATATTTTTCCAGGAGTCATTTCCATCGTTTTCAAAGAGAAAAGTATTTGGGGAAATGTACCAGTAGGAATAGCTATTTAGTTAAAAAGAAGCAAATGTGCTGGATTTTGGCAATATTTCATCCTTTATTTATTTCACCTTGAGACATCGAGAAATGTTGATTATTTATTTTTCTTGTAGTGATTTAAAAAAAAACAAAAAAAAACAGGTTCTTATCTCTACAATATTTTCGAACATCATTTACTCAATGACTTTCTCAAGCGTTACAAGTACCTAGTAATTTTCATCAGACATTCTATTTAACTAAATAAGTTTACATTACTTATATTACTTCGGAATGCGAGATAAAATCTAAAATCAGTCAGTTCTTGTGGCAACACCAGTCTATTGAAGTAAACACAAATTCAGACAAAATATACTAATATTGTCACTAAGAAGTACAAAATACTAGCGTACCGTTAACAATCAACTGTGAAACGTGGGACGCATTTCCAAATTTGTTGATTGCTGTACACACATATTCACCTGCATCCCTGATGCGTACGTTTCGCAAAAATAGATTGCCATTGGGCAGCATCCGTATTCGAGAAGTTTCTTCGACATTCTCCAGAGACAGTGATATGCCATTTTTGCTCCATGTAATTTCTGGTTGTGGCGCTCCTTCGGCATTGCAAAAAAATGTAACATTTCCGTTGATAGTCGCCAAAACGGTTTTGGGTGTGGAACTTCGGAAAAAATTGGGTTTGAAAGCTAAAGAGGGAAAGAAAAAAAAATATTTTCGGGATTTAAAAAAGAAAATGTATTCAGCAATTAATTTCAAATAACTTTATCTCCATTAAAACAAAAACAAAAATAAAACTCTTATCTTATGCTCTGATCATTTTAGTAGTAAATATTATCGAATCGAAAATTAAGTAAACGCTAAATTATTTTCCCCGACAAATCCTCTATTCAGTACTGCCTGAAGTATTGCTTGCCGTTAAGCTGAGCATGTTATGAGAGTCTCTAAAAATGTATCGTGACTGGTAGCGCATATTGACTTGTTATTCCTTTATCAAGAGGATTAGTAACATTTATTATAATTACATCTAATTAAATTTTAAAAAGTATTAGATTTTTTTATATTACCAAGAACAGATAGTTGGGCACTGCTATAAGTAGTGCCATGGATATTCGTGGCGGCGCATTGATACATTCCCGCATGTTCTCCATTCACGTTTATGATTTGCAGAGTATTGTTAACCACAATGACGTCCTGTGTGCTATTTATTTGTAATCCATCCTTGAACCACGTATAAGTAGGCAACGGTTTGGCACGACTTTGACAAAACCATGTTAATTGTGATTCAATGTCGACGAATTTGGGCGTCAATGGAAAGATCATGTATGGTTTAGCTTTAAGAAAGAAAGAAAAAAAAGAAAAAACGAATTTGTCGTTTATATCGTTTGAAAATAAAATAAATAATAACATTGTAAAATGAGTTAATTTAATATTTTTTTTATAAAAAAAAATACCTGAAAGTTCGAGGTAATATGTCTTTTCGTACCGGGCAGCTGAACCACGTGTTACAATGCATCGATAAACACCTTCATCATGGAATGTCGACTTTTCTATCGTCAAGACTCGATTATGATCTCTGAATTTGACTCGCGACGAAAACGGAATGTCATCTCTTGACCAATGATAATTCATTTCATTCCTGTTCAGAAACATAAATGAAATATCACTCACATTTTGTAATACTTCGAAAAGCTTCCAATAGGATAAAAAGAATGTATTTATAAAATGAGATTCGACTTAATATTTACTTCATATGTCTAGTGTATATTTTAGTTCAGAGAATCTAAAAACGCCATGAAAATATACGAAAGATAAAATTAATTTTAGCCCTTCTCTCTTTATATATATACATATATATATTCCTCTGTCCTTCTATGTAAAACAATATTGTTTATGAACTAACTTCTTACTTTCCACACAAATACCACATTCTCTCGTCAATTTGTCACTTGTGCATATACCGATAGTCGTATGAAAAGCATCCAATATACAACTATTAACACAAGGCAGATATTCATATATCACACAAAAATACTCTACAACATTCCCTGTTAAGAAAAACTCAAACTATTCGAAGTTATATAAAAGAAACAACCTGCATTAAATGACTTTCACTATAGTAGACGGCATTTTAAAATAGCTGCAAAACATTTAAAAGGCCTATAAACTATTTATATTTGTCTTCCGGTGCTATCAAGTTCAGTGAAAACGTTCTGCATAAGACGACACTTATACAACACACATTTACATTTGAACTGTGTATTCCAAAATGTCTGGATATATAACTAACCAAACTTTTGTCTACGACACGGACATTTATTGCTTGATAATGACCGAGGCAGTTGAAAGTTCTACAACAAAAACAGAAAATTACATGGATTTTGGACAGTATATCCATGATTTTGATCCGGATGTGCAACAATTTATTCGAAAATTGGAAAATATAATAAATTTAAAACAAACATTGAATTTAATAAAACTCGATTATTATATATTGTAAATATAAATAATTTGATTAAAATATTTTTTATTTTAAATTTAGTGAATTTAGCTCTTGTAGTGCATCACTTGCGTCAGGTTTTGATATTAGGCGATAATTACAAAAAAGTCAAAAGATAACGTCAACCATTTTCAGAATTAAAAAAATAGTTAATAAATTAGATTACACATATAACCTCGCAAAATTGAAGAATGATTGAACGCTATTGAATGACTGACCAACTCAGAATGCTGCCAACAATTTTATACGGTCAAACATAAAAAAAAGTTTCTCTGATTTATGCATTTGAAATTTAAAGCTTTTCAAGTATCCATTTCAACAAATTCAATCAAACGTTGGCTATACTAAAAATCCGAATTTAAAGCCATAGAAAATCACTAATCAAATTTGGGTTTATTTTATAGAATCGTCAATGTTTGTCTATTCACCCCCGTTAAAAATAGACGCTTCTATAAGAATTAGCTTTGACCAATCAACACCACACATTGTGAAACTCGGCTTGTTATTGGTCGAGACGACCCTAGAATGTGTATCCATGGTCAAAAATCTGTTTTCCTGCCAGCCCACTGGGAGCCTACTTTGGTTTCCCAAACTAAATAAAAGGACGAATTTCAGTCCAATTCACTAATCAGGCCTCTTCACCTAGAGAGAAGCCCATCCACTCCACGCCAGTCAAAACTCAGACTTTGCTGCGCAAAAAATATTCTCTGACTCAACAATCCACAAACACACTCTATCTCTCTAGAGAACAATTTCTCAAACTTCACTTGCTATACTTTAAAAGTGATATTTCTCACTACATAACAAGTATCAGAAACTAACAATTTATTTTTCTCAAGCAGATAAAGGTACGCAACTGTGAACAACTTTGAATATTTGTATAAACACACTTACGTACATAACGATTCAACCTCAACACCACGTGATCAAACAGTTTAATTCTGTGAACAATCTAATCACCCAAACATTCACAACAACACAATACACAATTAAATACACTAATCCTCATTTATCCATCAAATCTTAAACCCACAGTATATTAAATTGTATATAAATTGATGTTATTGTTATGCATTCAACTTTTGTCTTGTTTTCAACTTTATTTGCATGATTTGTTCCAAGTATTTGTTCTAAATAATTGTTGTGGACGAATGTTGTAGAACACGGCCTCGAAATTCCTTCTGATCAATTTAAACACAATCACCAGTCTGCAACAATTTGATAGTCTTATGGTATTTAAGTACTTAAGATACTTTTTAAAGTATATTTATAATATTTAAAACAGATTGTTCTTAAAATAGTTTGCGAATTTTTAAAACTATTTCGAAGCTTACAAAACCTTTTTGTTGTAGCATTTACAGTCTGGATGCAGATGAAAGTAGCATTTTTACAGAAATTAATTTTAATTATTGATAGAAAAATATATTTGTTTTTCTGAATTTTCAATTTCTATTGAAATTTTCCAAAAAAAATTAGAAAAAATAAATAATTATTTTATAAATATAATCAAATGATACAATAAGTCAAAACAATTTTAAAGTTTTATTATTAACTTAGATTTTCTGTCTCAAACCATCACGATGACAATGTCTCCGATTAGTAAGTCACAGAATGTGTTAAAATATTTCTATACTTCCAATTTAAGTTTATAAAAACTATTAAACTCTAAAATGTTATGTAAATTTCATTATATTTAAATTTATTTAGATTTACACAAAAGCTAAAATAAATAAATAAATAGTGTCAGTTTTTTGAACTCAGAACTTAAAATATGTAAGGGAATAAAAGACAGAAATAAAAACAATCCAACTAGGAATAAAATAGTTTAATGAATCATGGCTACTTTTTATGAATTATTCCTTTACTACGAAAACTGAGTATAACAACATTTGAATAGAAAGAAACTGCCTAAACAATGTAATAATAATTATAAAATAGAATATTCTAACACATTAATATTTATAAAATGTAATTATCCTTACATTTGATGTCAGAACCAACAAGAGCATACAAAAGTGGTTACATGCTGATGATAGTGCAGTTCGATGGAGTAGTGATGCTAAGCTGGGTGAAGATGCATTTTAAATATGCTGCTCTTACTTTTATAGGCACTAATAACCCCTCTGCACTATATATACTAACATAAGAAGCACAGGAAAAGAACTTTCCAAAGGGCAGATAAATCCTGTTGGCCCTTACAAAAAGTATCGCTGTAAAAAAACACTAAAAATTAAAAAGTCATTTTTATATTCTAATGTTTAAGCAAAAGAGGTTGGAAACATTTTTTTATTATTAAAGGATGATGAAGAATGAAAGAAAAACAAGAATAGTAAACCGGATTGTAATAAAATTTACATACGATTCGCCGGATGATCCTTGGGCGAAACACTCGAGTCTTACGTCATTACCAACTTTCGGCGTTGTCGGAAAAACAGCGATGAAATCATTCTGTATAATTGGTCCCCAATTCACTTTAGGCGCTAAAAGAAAAACAAGAAACGTAAACAGTTAACTTCAATTGATGGGGTTGAAGTGTTTTTTTAAAGTGTTTATGTAAAAACGATTTATCTTGATATTTAATTGTGCTTTACTTTGACCAACCGAGAGAATACAGCCTTGGACATTAGCAGTACATATTTCGGGGATATTTTACAATATTTTCTATTTTCGTCGCAGTACCCGTTACACTAGAAAATAACTCATCGTAAGTAGATAAAACTGAAACTTTAAAAAGTTTGCTATGTGAATCAGGATTTCATTCTATTTTTGGTCACTATTTACCTCTATTGAATCAAATGCTTCTGGATGAGTAGATTTGTAAAACTAATTGAAAAATTAAATAGTATCTTTCCTAGAAATTACAAAGAATACAAGCATAATTTTTAAATACAGTTTGTTTGTAAATGCATCTAAAGATTTGTAACCGTAGTGTCAAAACAATGTTTACTTTATGGACGAAAATGATACCTGATTCAGTGAAAGACGTTTGACTGAATCAATAACAGAATCAGTATTACAGACATAACAAATAAAATATACAGTAGGAAACCTAAATAGATCCATTTTCATAGCACTGCCTAAGAAACCAGTTGTAAACGAATGTGAGCTCCATCGGACAATCAGCCTACTGAGCCATATAACCAAACATATCATTCGAATTCTGATGAATCGAGTACACAGCAAAATTGGAACGGAAATAAAACAAGAACAGTGCGGGTTCGTTAAAGACACTAGAACAAGGAATGTGTGATATTTATGCCCAGAATGTTATCAGAAAGAGCAAGACAAATACAGAAGGATGTATATCTATGTTTTATAGATTATGCAAAAGCATAACATAAAGTATGTCACAAAGTATTGTTGAAACTGCTAGGTAACCTTGATATATTTGGGAAGGTCATTAAATAATCCAAAACCTATATTGGCAGCAAGCCGTCTGCATACGGATAGAAAATGAATTCAGTAATTATACAAAAATAGAAAGGTTTGTAAGGCAAGATTTCACCGGATTTATTCAACCAATACAGTGAGGTAATTCTACCAGAATTCATTATTGGTGGCCAGAATCTTAGCAACATAAGATATGCAAATGACACAGTGTTGATAGCAGACACAGAATAGAAACTACAAGAACTCCTACAGAAGATCGTGAAAGAAAGCGAGAAGAAAAGACTAAACATCAATTGCAAGAAGACATAATGAAGACATGGTTGTTAGCGAAAGGAAAACCCCAACATGCAAATTACAAATTAAAGATACCAAAATCAAACAAGTACGACAATTTAAATATTTGGAGAGTGCTTTAATGGAGAACGGAAAGTGCGACACTAAAATCGGAAGGTGCATTGGGATAGCGAAAGATGCCTTCCAAAAGCTAAGCAAAGTATTAACAGGTAAGTTTCGTCAGAAACAAAGAAAAGAGTAATATCATTTCTCCTATATGGCAGTGAATGCTGGACAGTCTCCTCACAGATGAAGAAGAAACTCAAAGCAACAGAAATGTAGTTCTACAGAAGGATGGTGAGAATACCATGGACCAAACATCTGAGCAACGACGAAGAAAAAAATGTAAACGAAAAGGACAGTTATACTTAGCATCAGAAAGATCTCAGAAAATTTGATACTCACAGGACAAATGGAAAATAAGAGGGAC